TTAAACCTAACTTAAATTTTGTTAAGATGATTAGTATTAAATGGTGTAATTGACTCTTCACATGTGATTAATTTCCAATTTCCTGAATTTTTAATTAAAACAATTAACACTCTCTGTTAAGCCAATTTATCATTTTTTTTGCATTTTTTTAGTAAATAATTTTTATTTAAAGATTAAATAAGTACATCATTCTCGTAATAGTAACATTCAAAGTTCCTAAACAATTCATTTAATTGAATTAATAAATTCGTTCATTGGCCATCGTTCAATTCATGAATTTCCTTCAGTGATGAAAAGAAATCACCCAGTAGATATTTACAAACACAATTGTCATAAGATAGACGTATGACTCACATTATATATTGAGATTTAAACATTTTATAAACATTTATTTTCAGTACCAAAAAATGAAGAACTCTATATTTTGAGATAGGTTTATGGAGCACTAACGACCATGAGCCTGCATGAACTATTGCCTGTGTTTTTTTTTCGAACTTTTTTCGAATTTATATTTATACTTCACAATACGCTTTAGCCCATTTCCTCAAACCTGGAATTTTTCGTTTCTTATTATCATGCTTCCACAAAAACCGGAATACTATACTTTACTTTACGAATACCGAATACCGCATACAAAGCTTCACGGATTACTTTACTTCAACTAAATCTTAATATCTTTAATTTGCTCTATAGAGTTCTGCGCAAAATATTGGCCGGATAAGGCCGAGAAGTACGACATGGATTTTAATTGAACGCCTCTCTTGTTACTTTCTTTACGTAATGTGTGGCCAATTCATCGCCACTTTGAGATTTAACTGATGTAGCTGCGCAAACTTATCTCATTTATCCTGTAATTGCATATTTGATATTCGCTCCGGACATCAAATTCGAAAAATTTAGTGTAGATATTTATTAGTGATAAGTTGAATACGCTTATCAGTCGGTTTGGAGTACTTCAATGTTGATGCTTTGATGTGGATGATTTGATTGTTATGTTGAGAGAATAAGAGAACAAAATTACATTTAACCAACACAAATATTAAGAAACTCTATTTCAAGTAGTAGATCAGATTTGATTTGTCAATGACGTGGACCGAATAACTGGACAACGTCATGAAATGCACAATTATAGTTCTTAATCTTTGATAAAAAAAAACGTTAGCATATCTTATTCTATACCATAAACTACTAATGTTTGCTTCAGAATAGTTTTTTGTTGCACTAGACAATTTATTTCTCTCAACTAGTAAATAACTAAACTCCAAAACAGTACATCACAATATGTTAATAACGAATAGTGCATTATTATTGTTTAATTAAAATATATAAAAAATTAAATTAAATTTTATATATGAAAAAATATTTTAAAAGTTCTTAACATAAATTTTGTAATGTTTATTTTAAAAAGCTAACGTACCATTGCCATTCACACTATTTTTGTTATTGTGAATGCTTTTGAACCATCATTCACAATAATTCTCAATGTCAGGATATCTACTCTTCAAACAACTTCTAAAAAAAATACTTCTATAGTATAAAATCCAACGAGGCATTTAACTTTTTGTGACGTTAGTACTAAAGTGAAATAAATTGTTTCAAATTATACATACAAGTAACCAAATTCCTTAAATAGAAGCACAGTTTATATATCACCCAAACTGCCATTTTTGGACTGTTAAGCACGCAAGCAATTTTGAATTTTGGTTTGTAACTTGGATAAATCGCTGCAAAAAAGAAATTGTTTCAATACAGAAATAGTGTTAACATATATCGAAAATCACTACATTTTTTTAGGAATAAAACATAAAATTTTTCTAAATATTGTCACAAAAATTATTAAACGCTTTTAGTCTCTGCTTTTGCACAGTTTATGATCAAAGTGCATTGGTACATTACGCATATAACAAAAGAATAATATAATTTTTATTCAATTTTAAATAAAATTTGAGTTTTCCAACACTGTACGCCAAACTTTTTTTTCCACCTTTGGACCACCATAATCTCAGACCAATAAATATTTCCAAATACCAATAACTTATATAAAACAGCCTAAAAGTTGAAATAATTAAAATATTATTTATATTACTTGAATTTTGATTATTTAATTCTTTTTGTTAATTAAAAAATTAATACAATTGTCATTATTTTCTTTAAAATCAATTTAAAATTCTTCAATAAAATTATTTCCATAAATCAACAACTTCAAATTGAATTAATATGATCTAAGGAAAGCCATTTTTCAACAAAAGGCAATAATAACTGTTCGGTGACTATTAAAATTTTTAAATATACATTCCTATAAAAATCGTATATTAATATATTTTTACAATATCTGTTAACAAAATATGTGCCTTGATCGAGAATAGTTTCAATTAATAAAAATGATTAATTAATTTTTCAAATGAAATTTTCTTTCTCCTTACAAATACTAATTTGGAGCAATAAAATAAATGAAATCAAATGATATACATATGATTCACTTAGAGCAGTGAGAACACTTTCTTAATGTCTTAATTTCATTTAACTGTTGTTGCCACCAAAGTAGAACTTTACTTTGGATAAATTCAAGTTTATTAATCTGAATATTTAACCATAATAGAAGGCATAATACAACTTTAAAATTTACCATTTAAAATCTTTAGACCTTACAGAGCTGACATCCTATACAATTAACTAATTTTAATTAACTAATTAAATTTTTAGACTTAAGAATGATTTTAATTGACGTTTCAACTTTAGACATATCAATAGTATAGTTGAGGGATTGTTAGTATATTGTGACGTCCGAATTGCATAAGGTATAAAAATTCACTTAAATGAATTAGTAAGTGAAGTAAGTGAAATAACACAGAAATGAAAATTACCGGTTCTATATTGATATGGTTATAGTCAGTTTAAGATCTCCATGAACTTCCAGCAAACAAACTCGCATAAGTACATCGACTAGCGTCTGGTGAAAATTTTCTTATATCTAGAACGCTTCTAATATCTAGAAAGTCGTGAAAACATTAAAATGATTGTTGATATTCTAGCTAAAATGCTGCTAACTCTCTTTTAACACAATTAGTTTACTGTACTCCTCACAGACCACAATAAATTAGACAGTTGAAATGAGTTAGTTCATCTAGCTACTCTAAGTGAGTTTTGGAACAGTACCCGAAACAGTTACGCTCTACAATACTAAGTAAATAGCCTTTTCAAAACCAATTGTAAAGGAACTCTTGAATTTCTTCTGCAACTTTATAGCTTATAACCACTGGCTGTAAGTTTTCTGCTTCATGCATTATTTAGTATATTTTTCCACAATAATCAAATGAAAGTAAAGTCCTCCTGTTTCAATATATAGTAAACTTAATATCATTCCTGACCTATTAATCAAGCTGTTTAGAATATACTTTTTGATTGGTTTGCCCACACTTGGTTGTATCAAAATATCTAGATAATATCAATAGCAGTCTTTACTCTTAAACAAGAAAATAATATCCTGAATCAGCTGAAGTGTTATATAGACCACTTTCTTTCACCATTTTTTATTGCAAACTGTATAGATTGTTTACGCAAGAATTTTAACTTAATTTAAAGAAAATGGTTTCATCTGCATTGATTTGAATTTTTTTTTACTGTATTCTAATGCTATATTCTATAGAATCCACAAGAATTTTTCTCTTCTCTTAAACTTTTGTTCTTCTTCATTCCATCGCGTTCCCAAGGGAACATTGAGCCACTAAAACTTCTAGGTCATATATATTATTGTATCTTAAAAAATTAAACTTCATAATTTTTTAGAAACTGTGTTCAATAACACAGTTAGTGTCTACAGTTAGTGCACAGCATATTATCACATTTTTCATAGTAAACTTGAGTGGTGAGTGATGACAACCACTCAAGTGGATTTCGCTATACAAAGCCGCCATTTTAACCTAATCTAAACTTCCGACAAATACCTATTGTGATCTGATCTATAGCCAGATAATTAGACCAGCATTACTTTATGGGTGTGTCGCGTATAGCAAAGCTGCCGACTCTACTATACAAAAGTTACAAGTCGCTCAACGTCAGACTCTCCGAAGACTCTTCAAAGTGCCTTGGTACATCCGCACAAACGACATGCTAAGAGACCTTAGAATAGACCTGATCAAAAAATACATAAGGGACAGAGCCCTGAAGTTATATGCGAAAATTGACAGGCTAACCTACTTACCATTAACTAATCTTAGAGTAATCAGTCTCCGCACGGGGAGGTACGCAGATCTTAGATCAATCACTGAATAATCATGAAGCTTATGAGAGATATACAAATTAGTCAATGAAATGGGTGGGACCCTGTGGTATCCCCAGCTATCAAAGAGTATAAGTGCCCACTTGCGCTGACTCGAAAAAAGAATCAACATACATACATACATACTTTTGTGTTGGCTTAAATTATACAAGATATACTTGTTTCGAAAATGTACCTCCTATTTTTTTGAAGAAATTTTGGGTGGTAGTATGTGATTCTTGTCTTCACATTTATTTTTAAGTTTTTTATCTTAGTTTTGAATTATTATGAAAAGAGTGGTTCTACTTCTTTTGTATTTTTATATTAAAAACTTGGCTTTGTATAAACTTGACATCTTCACTAATGTTCTGAAAATTGAAACAGATGTCCAAGCCTCATTGTTTTAAGACTACACACTTACGTTTGTAAAAGTTTCTTTATTTTGCTTAATCTATATGTTTTTCCTTTTTATAATGTAACGATATAGAAAAAATATACCATATTTATAAATATAAATAATTATTATGTACCGATTAGATTAATTTTTTTATATCAATTACTTACCCAAGTAACATTGAAAAAATCATAACTTAACGACTGACTGACTATATGTATAATACATGAATAGCCATTAGTTTTATAAATAAAATTTTATGGTATATTTATTTTTATTTTATTATAAATTCAAATTTAATTATACAATTAAAATAATTCATATAAATACGATTTAGTAACATAATTTAAAATTATACATAAGATCTGCAGCCATATGTATGAAAAACTATAATATAAGAAGTTAGTGAAGGACATATAAAAATTGGATACTTTGCCAGCCAAGAGAAAGCAGGAGTTTGTTATTCTAAATTACTTATTTTATATTAAATATTAATACCAAGATTTGGAGTAATCCCCAATTCAGTTAATTCAATCACTTAAACCGTTTACTATTATACAAATTAATTAAATATTAACTATTAACTTAATTTTAAACTTACAAATTAACTTCCACGATTTATTTATTAAACCCACGTCTTCGGCAGACTAAATGGACCGTGACGGTCGTGTGCATCCACAGCCCTCACCGCAAAATAATATCTTTGTCCTTCCTGAAACTGTGTAAGTGTTACCGCCATTGGTAGCAACATTGCTTTCACATCCCCCACATGACGCCAGGAATCAACTGAAGGCGGACCTGATGTTTCCTGATAAGCATATATTTGATACGTTACACATTCCGCGTGGCGTTCCATTGATTCCTCCATAGTCCAAGATATAACAATGCCATTATCTAAATTACTAATGCGTATGGTAGGCCTAGGCGGAGGTAGCTTCCACGTTGAATTAACAGGCTGTGGTGGTGTTGGTGGTAATGGCGCTGGATGCGTATACTTGAGACGCTGTGTTGCAGGATTAGCTGTTGTGAGATGAACACGTGTAATACTTGTACAGGGTGGAGTCGAGACAGGAGAAACATTCGTTCTATGTGCTGTTGAAATATATAATATATGATAATAACTGTTCTTCTTATTTTCGTTATAATGCTATACTTACAGTTTTGCATTGTTGGTAGCGGGCGTGATGGTGTATTTACTGATTTATTATAATTTATTTGTGTTGCGCCCGGTACTCTAGAAAGTGCTGCAGTAGGCCTGCTATTTACATTGGCTGCCGTATTGTTTGAAACAGGTACACGAGTTCTTATGGAAGAAACTTGCGTATTTTGTGGAACGATATCATCCTCATCCGTCAAATCAATTACGGGCTTGTCTTTTGGTTTAGCGGGCGCAATACTCACCCCTGTTGGAAGTTTATTTATTTGGTTAACATAATTTTCTACAACTGTATTCGGTTGGGGTGGTCTGTAGTTTTGTTGTATTGTATTGGGTTTTGGTGTTAACTTCCGACTAAAATAACAAAACAAGAAATTTGTTACAATACAAATCTTTATTTAATGATAATTTTAATGAACTTACACAACAGTAGTTCCCTGCCGCATGAGCCCCTGCTGATGTTGAGGGCTATTTGCTGGCACAGCAAACCTACTCCTTGGTAAGGTTGTTGAAGCTGCATTTTTATTTAGAACTTTAGGTGCATTTGTTACCGGCACTGGAGTTGCTGCATTTTGTGTTGGCTGTGTAGTTGGGCGATATATGGTCGTATTATTTGTTGTAATAGGGGAGTCCATTCCTCTTTGTGGTGTAATTTTTTGTACACAACCACGTCGTAAATTTGCATTTGGAGTTAACCCAGTTGTTGGAGTAACAGTTGGTGTTCTGGTAGGTGTGTTATCTACACTGGGAGTTTGCTGGATCGGTGTTGCAGTAGCACTGCGCAATGATCTGTTGGGAGTTATCGGTACAGATGCCTGTTGGATGACAGCTGCATTAGTTTGATCGGTAAAACTTTTCCTTTGGGGTATTGACACCTGGAGACCAACGGCACGTGTAATCTTAACTGGTAAAATGAGTTGTGAATTTTTCGTTTCAAGATCTTTCATTGCGCGGTTATGCACCATTTCAAGATCACGAAATTGTTTTATAAGTTCAGTAATTTTACTGCGATAGCAAGTTAATAATTTCTCTTGGTTATTAGCCAATTCACGAAGTTCTGCTAGTTCACTACTAAATATCATAGTTTCAACAACTTTCACAGCAACTAATTCCTCCAAATCTGCTTTTGTCATTTTTGATAACGGTTTTCTGAACTTCTTTAAAAACTGAAGTTTTACATTTGGAGTTTCAACATCGTACTTTGGTGGAGGATATAGTGGTATAGTTATTTGGGATGGTTCACCTTTAAATAACTGTTTTATATCTGTTGATAGTTTTGAGTCGGTATCTACGCTCTTAATATCTTTAATATCTTTATTCTCACAGTCACTAACTGAAATATTTGCAGTTTTAGTTGATTCCTGACTGACTATATCTTTTTTCTCTACACTACAATCGGTGTCAGTTTTTAGCTTTTTCAAAGCTAATTGGTCATTTTCATTTAAGGTTTCATCCTTATTTGCTCCTGTTTCTACACAATCATGTGTACGCTTTACAGCTAGTTGTTCACTAGTATCTGAGGTTACCTTTGAAGTATTAATTTCAGACTTACTAATTGAGTTGTCTGCTTTATCTTCGAAGCTGCTAGTTTTACTTATATCATCCTCGTCAACCATCATTCGACAGGATTCATTACTTTCCTGACTGAGTCTGATACGTTTAGCAGGTGGCACTGCTTCACTGTCTTCTGTATTATTATCCTTTTGTTCAATCAAAGATGAATCCTCAACCAACTCAATATCACCATCGTCTTCATTATCTGGATCTTCAGACTGGTCCTCAGCAATAGTTAAACATTTCGATTCTTGCAATAAATTACTACTTGAGCTACAATTACTATTTGTTTCATCTTTTTCTGATAGTTGACGTTTATTGGCATTACCAGCTTCAACTTTTTTTTCTTCTGCAAAATCATCTCTAGCATTATCTGAATTGTCAAAGTGTAAATCAGAGTCATTCATTTTTTCTGCACCTTCTTCATTCACAGCTTTGGTAGGAATAGATTTATTAGCTTCCACTTTTTCATTGCATTCAATACCAGCATTATTTTCGCTTTCTTCTGTAGTTTCTTTTTTATTATTCTCATCGTCACCTTGAATACTTGTTGAGGAAGTAACCAACGATGATTCTTCATTTTGTTCAACTTTTTCTGAAATATCTGTATTTTTCGAAACTTTCGTTGTCATGTCCTCATCGTCTTCTAGTAGTACAATATCGTCGTCATCTTGTCCAACACATGGCGTATCTACTTTATCATCAGAGACTTTTTTACTCTCATCATTATCGATTATCTCAACAAGTTCAGCAGGTTTATCTTCTATACATACTACGTCATCATCAGAGTCTTCAGCATTTAAGTCTGGAGAGGTTTTTTCATCTGCTATAGTTTTTTCATCTGCAGAATTATCTTTTATTGTGCTTGGAAACACTATTTCAACATCTTCTTCAAGTACTAAAGTTGACACTTCTTCTACAACTTTATCATCTTTCCTAGTAGCTATTGTCTCCTTTTCTTTATTTTTTTTGTTTTCGATATCACTGGGTTCAACTTTCTCTTGATTTTCATTTAGTTCAGTTGCAGAGTCAGAGCATTTATCAGTAATTTTAGATACGGAATCTTTTGAAATATCATTTTCTGCAGAAATACCGTCTAAAATTTCGGTACATTTGTCATTGTCAGTTGCATCCTGAGTTACCTTTAAAGAATTTGTATTCTCATCTACTATATCAGTTGAAGTTTCTAAGTAATTTTCCTTAATTATTTCAGTTCTATTATCTATAGAATTTTCAATTTCAGATTTTTTGTCAGAATTTTTAATTCCTTGCTGTAAATCTGTCATTGGAGTTAACGAATTTTCATTTTCTGATTCTAGAATACTACTACTTTTATTAGTATTTGTTTCTGATTTATTGTTTACTTCATTTGCTACACTCGCTTCATCTACTTTATCATTATCACATTCATTGTTTGCGTCTTTAAGCATTTCCTGATCAGTTTTTTTATCCTTATGTATTTCTTGTAAAGCATTATCTGTTACTGTGATGGTGTCGTCTTCTAATAACTTAATTTTTGTGGTAGTTGAGGTTTTATCATCTTCTATACTTAAATCTACGGAGATGCAATTATTTTGTGCATTTTCTGTTACGACCTTTGAAGTTTCAGGAGTTTCTTTCGATTCATCAACGATGCAATTAATTTTTGACAGCAATTTATCTAAGTCGTCGCCAGGATTATGAGTTTTTTCTAAAGGCGTATTGCTTCCCGTATTCGTTTTGCTGTCAATATCTTCAAGCAATATATCTGACACAATATCACCTTTTGCAGTCTCAACGTTGGGAATTTCTTCCACGCCTTCTAATAACACATCTTCCAATTCTGGACTTATTTGCTCTCCTAAATCAATATCATCACTTAAATCTATATCCAAATTATCATCAGTGATAATTTCGGGATTTGTGTCTAAAAGAAAAACAGTTTACATAAGTAAGATGTAAATTAAAATGGAAATGTTTTAACACATACCATTTTCTCTAAGTAAATCCTTCTCTGAAGATAACAAATCAGCTTCAAGTTCAGTCTCGCCATTAGTTGTGGTTTTATCTGAAGTCTTATATTCTTCAATATCCACAGCGGAATTTGATTTTACTTCCATCATCTTTGTACAAATTAATTACTTTATAGATGTTTTACGGCAATTAAGTCGGTTTGTCTGTAATAGAAACAATAAAGATTAATCATAATAAATGAGAGTGTGGTTAAACTCTATACTTTTTATGATTTAATAAGAGATACATATATAAGCATCATTATAAACATAAATTAGCTCTTAAACAATATGAAAGCAAACTTAATTAAAATAGCTAATGTTTAAATTCAATGTAGATTAGGAAAGCCAAATTTAAGCCAGTACAGACGCCGAATAACCGAAAAAGGCATTCAGATCAGTGGCGACACTAGGTGTCAGCAACGTCGCCGACCGCCGACGGCCTGTCGCCCTCAAGGGTCACGCAAAAAGTTGTACATATTTCTTAAAAATTTAATTAATAATAAATTCAAAATTGCGAATATTACTGAGCAAACAGTTCAATTAAGATAGCCATTTATTTATTAACCTATAGCGAGGGAAGTAGGTATTTGCAATAACGGCTTTGTAGCGTCATGGTTTAATTCATGATCCCCAACAAAACAAAGAAACAAAGAAAAATCTAATAAAAGTTATCCTAAGGATTTTAATAAAAGACATTTTTCTAATTTCTATCATATTTCTCTATCTAAAACAAGATAGGAGAGTAGAAACGAAGCAATAAAAGCGATATATTTGCAATTTGATGATGTTATTGAAGACGTGAATGAGCTGAGAAATAAAACTGATTATTCAGAACTGACTTTTGAGTTTATTGTAGCTTAACACGTGTGGTACGAACTTTTACTATAAGTGGACAATATAAATAAATTATGGCAATCGACTGAAGTAAACTTGAAGATCGCTATTGATAGTCTACACTCATTTCATACCTGCGTAAAAGACTATCGCAATACTGGATTTAAAACAACTGTAGAAAAAAGTAGTTACCTAAATTTAAAGAAAAAATAATAGCAAAGAAGAAACGATTGTTTACTTATGAACATATTGATGAACTGTATGGGTTCATCAACCATACATGCAATATAAAGTAACCACAATGATCGATGCTATCATAATGATACTGACTATTGGTTCAAAGCGTAATGACTTAATGACATTAATCATATGAAAAGTATACCAAACAAAGACCTTTCCAAGCAATATAATGTTTTAGGTTTTATATTTTGGAAAGGTGAATATCGCCCTTTTGGAAAGGGCGATATTCAGCCTTTTAAACTGTATGAGGAGCTGCTGCTTTTAAAATAGAACTCACTAGGCTTAATCAAAGATATAAAGCAACTCACCCGATATATTAAAGAAAATAATTTAAAGAAAATAAATCCGAATATTTATTTAGTAATCAAAATAATGGTCACAATTCCACTCAGTATAGCTTTTTTTGAAAAAAATTTCTCAAAGTTAAAATGGATTAAGACCTACTTGAGAAGTTCAATAAACCAAAAGAGACTATCTGCATTGACAACTCTATCAATTTAAACAAAAATAACAGCTCAAACAAATTATGATATTTTTTTTAAATTATGAGGCTTAAAGTAGGAAAATTCATTTATTTTAATTTGAATTTAAATAAATAAAACTTTCATACATGCTTCGTCGCATTACTGAATTATTTAAATTCATTAATCTAAATTATTTACTTTTATAATTCAGTAATAAAGGAGGCCTCGCTTTTCTGATACCGCCAACGTCCAGAGTTGATCTAGCTCCGCCACTTATTCAGATAGTAAAAGAAGGATGCTGTGACTGAAAAGATTTGACAGGACATGGTTATGATAATGGTGCCAATATGTTCGGCATTAATAAAGGCGTTGGAAGAACGTCATTTTATCGCTTTATCGATTATCGATAGCTCTATCACTTTATTTCAATTTACTACCTAATTTTTTATAAGTTCGATACATTTTCCGATACATGCATTTACATTCGATAATATAATCACAATATACAACATACAATAATTAATATCAACAATATAAGGTTTCGGTTTTAAACACCAACCACTATATGTCATAATATTCAATGTTTTACGAGAAATCGAAAATATACGAAAACCAGCACTTGAGTCATTAAACTGATTTAAATGATTGTCACCTATATAAAATATTTGGTAAGTACTATTAGAATCGATTTTAATAAATATAAGTAACGCGATAACCTGTGTTCGTGTATAAAGAAAGAAGTAAACGCCAATGACCAGAAATTATTACATTTTTAATCTAAGACATATATACAATAAGTATCCATATTACAATATAAATGCCTGTTTTAAAAATAAAATATTTTCAAACAAAAAAAAAATATATATTAAGAAAGTAGTAAAAAAAAAATGCCGTTACTAAAGTAGCAACATTGTACGACGTGTGGCAACCCATGTGTGCTCGAATTTTTCTGCGAGAGAGCCAACGTGACGAGAGAAATTTAATTTCTCAAAATAAAAATATTTGAACTAAATTTAATACACAACCGTACAGCTATTCTTTATAATACACTTTAAACAATGTTTATATCCATACTTAACATACAATAAAGGACTTTCTTTTTAAACGTTTACACACAAATAACACAACTCTACAACCACTCTCGACTGCACTGTTCAAGCTCAGAAGAGGTACTGAAAATGTTCGGATACAATCACTCATTTTTATTCGTTTCTATAGTAATCAATATTTCAGTCCGAAGTTGAAAAACGAAATTTGTATGTTGTGTTGTACTACTGTGAGAGACCCTTTGAATATAATAATTTATTGAATCTTCAAAGATTTTATTTATAATTTATTTAATATATTTTTCAATATTTTTTATGCTATAAAAACAAATTTCTGTTAAAATTTCTTTGTTGGACTCATGTATAACTAATATAATTACGAGATCCGAGAGTCTACGATTCTACGTTCCAAAGGCACTCACCAAGACTACGTAATAGTATAGATGTGATCTAAAAAACGATGGATCTTTTATATAATATATATATATATATATAATAAAAACTTTTATATAATAAAAACTTTAATTACTTTAATTTTAATTAAATTGAAAATGTAATTTAATTCAAATAATCAAAGTTTAATAACCTATAAAAACCCAAAATAATCCATATGTCAAAACTGAAGCTTACTGTCTTTCTAAAATTTCTAATCAAATCTTTTTATCTATGTATATTATTAAAGTTTTTTATTGTAAGAACGACAACAAAAAATAAATATAAATATATTTGTCCACACATTAAATATACATTTGACAACAAAAACATGAGTACAAAAATAAATATTAGAAGATAAATTAAAGAGATGGAATGAGAGAGAGATGGAATGAGAGAGAAATGAAATGAGAGAGAGAATCGAGAAAGTGTCATGCAAAATATGGGAAACGTTTTCATGCTCATTGAGGGTTTTATTATAAATTAAATATTTTTATATTAAAAAAAAAATCTATAAAAAGGATTGAATAATAAATTATTTTTTAGAGTTGATTTAAAATAAATATGCAGAAGGTCTAAAAACAAAAATTAAAAAATAGCTATATATTATGAAGAAATTACCAGGTAAGCGAAGAAGAGAAAAGAGACAAAGTTAAATGAAAAAAAAAAAATCAACCTGGCAATTGACGTCGTACATTTTTATTCGCAGACAAAAAAGAGAAAGAGAAAAAACTAAACAATGAAGAAAATAAAATAAAAAGTAAAAAACAATTTTGGAATTTTAAACACCCTAAGAACAGTGATAAGTAACTGAATCTATAAGGTCTGTCTTCAGAAGTTACAGATGGATTTGTAAAGGCGACTATAAAAGGACTTACAAAACTTATCTGTATTAATCTATCTATCTATACATTAGAATTCGAATATAAGAATTGATTTTTTGCACAAACCATACATTAAATCTAAAAATTCATTGAATCAATATATTTATATATATATAGTATATATATAGTTTTAATATTTCCAATTTTTTTTTTCTAGGTGCTATTGTTCCAGAGAATTTTTATAGAGAATTTTAATTTGACAATTATTTGATGATTTTTTTTGAGAAAAAATTTGTCTAAAGAAATTATCTTCTGCGATGTTGTCTCTTTCTGCTGTTTCCTCTCAAGCTGCTGATCTATCTTCAGGTATTCGTTTAATGTAGCGAGCACATTTAAATATGTTTCTTTACATATTCAATAATAATATCTTTATTCATCAACTAATACAGTTTGCTGCTGTATCTGATCTTATATAGTTTCTAATTTTCAGTTAAAGGACAAATAATCTTTCACAAAATTTATCTTTCAATAACCACTTACTTAATTAGTCCATCTATAATTGTCACGCGCCTTGGTTGTTCTTGACAGAATTTTGCATAATTACATTTGTTGAGGTTACTATATAACCTCATTGATCAATATTAAAGCAAAGTCATCAAGTTACTCATATAATTATAGAGGTCCTTTTAATACTTCAGTTTTTTAGTGGATCTCCATCTTTAGCACAATGTTAAATATTGCTGCTGGACCAAAAGTCCTGTTTGTGATATCACTTTATCGACACTTTATCGAAAGTTTACTACAAGTCTATAAAAACACAGTTCAAATTTATTGCAAAACTTCACTATATGCCCGAAGTCCAAGAACGCTAATCTGTTGTACTTTTTCCTGTCTAAAATTCTCATTGATTCTTGGTTTTAAGACCCCTTCCGTAATATTGTTGTAAAATGATGGCTTTAACTTTAAATAGCCATTATTTGGTGGTTTTCCATTCTTAAACTTTGTCATCTTCTATAGATGGAATTGCTGACAAAGGACTTAGTATACATTTGTTCGTCTATAGTAGCCAGAGTTGATTGTACGCATATATTTGTGAAGCTGGTGACCCACTGACCACCTAAGTCGATGTCTTTTATGTCTACTTAGTTGTTAGTTCTCCTTTTTTATTGACTTCTCTCAATCTTTTACTTATTTCTTTCCTTCCTTTCTGCTGACAAATTTTGTGGAGAAAAATTTTTTTTAAATCATTTCACATCTGCACAATATCTTCAGTATTATATACATCTAAAATTATAGACTCACGCATCTGTCAATTTATGACA